GGATACAAGATCTTTTCAAACAATACCAAAGACAACACCTACTCGGCTATGACAGAGTACTCATACTCTAAGTGCTTCTCCGTAGGTACTTTCATACCTGATGCACCTGGATCCAAGAGGAGAAGAGTAAAGCACCTGGGTAGAAAACAGAAGTGCAGTGTGTCCTAGCCTAGAACCTTGGGTAGACTGTCCGGATATGAGCATTTGTTGGCTGACTACCCTTGGGATCATAGCTACTGCAAGAGGAAGCATGCTGGCTAGTATGCAGGATGAGCTATTCGCACATCTTGCCATCCAGCCGACGCCATCTATACACATTTGGGTCTAGATACGACCCTTCATGGACATACGTCGCCAGGCACTCTCGAAGAACTGACATGGGACTGCTGGATGTGCCACTCTATCAACTGTCATAAGACTTCTTCTAGTTGCAGCTCCAGACTACTCTATTGTGCACAACTGTGGGTTTAGCCTACCTCTAATCCATATCACAAGAGTTCTTCTAGTCACTACAGCTCTTGGTTATACCAACCGAGTACTCTCGGGAGCTGGTCTACTTTGCTCTCCACCATATTTGCAAGCTTCAAACTCTGAGCCACTTTGCTTCTTCTACTACTGAGGCTCAAGTGCTCTCCAGGAGGGTTTTTATAGGCGTCTTGGTGGTGTCTATGGACCAGGTTCACAAAGAATACACGGACAAGCTACTGACTCCTGCACAGGTTCACGTGCTACACTACAAGGGTACAGTGCATCTCACTACACCTTTTCAGTGTACAGATAGCGTTTTCCCAGCATATGTGAAGTAACAGTACACTCGGTAGCACCTTTGATGGCACATTCCTATGAATATTCCAAGCATCTTTGAACCAACTGTACTTAGCTTCGCATGTGCCTTTGACATGTCTTACCTGCTTCTGTACAAGCAGACAGGACAATAATTTTCACTGACACTCTCATCCTCAAGTATATTCTTTTCAGATCCTTATCTCGAGTACAAGTACTCGGACACAGGCTCGGGGCTGCAAGGTACATATCCTCTACGAATGTTTTTTTCTTTTAGAACCTCTAACTCTTTGTTTTGCAAATAGCAAGAGGCTCGGGGGCTACACTCGGTGAGTGCACTTTTCTGAAAAATGCATGTTACCTGGAGGCTTTACAGAGCACCTCATGGCTTCACTCATGAAAGCACTCGGACTACACTTGTTTCTACTTGGCAAGACCAGGAGGAACAAGAAGGCTTTCGAGTTCAACCATGACACACTCGGGGGCTTGACGAACCAAGGTCCAAGGGGTTCCCCACGGGAATACTACTTGGATGGGCTCTGGGATGGCCCATGATCTGTTGAAGCACGCGAGACAAGGTGGCGTGGACTTCAAGTTATTCCCGATCGACTTAGTCGGCTTACTGTGAAAGCTAGATTCTATAATAGGACTATGACTCTTCTCTTGTAACCGACTAGGACTAGATACGTGCCCTTACCCTCTCCCCTATATAAAGAGATGTACGGTGCACCCCCTTGTAACCCTAACAATCATACCAATCAATCCAACGCAAAAGGCTACACGCGCGACTGGATGTAAAGGCTATTACTCGACAAGAGGGCCCGAACCAGTATAAACTGTTCGTCTCTTTGCGTTTACTGTCGAGTTCGGCATATGCCGAAGCCCTTCAAACATCGTCCCGGGTAACCCCGTGACAAGTTGTTGGTCATCAAACACCGACGAGTAGAATCATAAGTTAAGTTTTAGTGATTCAATTCATTCATTCCCCACTTGAGTTAGTCCAACAAGTTTCTTTCTAATAAAGACAATATAAACTGTGGAGACATGAGAAGCTATTGTCAAATGATTTTGTGGTGGCTCGCCATGGAGATTTCGTGCTTGCACTTGAGGTGAGAAGAAGAGCATTGAGGGGTGGTGACGTGGTGGAGAATGAGGTAGGGAGTAGGGACAGCAGGGTCAATTCATGTGACAAATCCACATTGGCAATATGAGATGTCACTCTACATCGTCAAAAGTGGCAAAAATAATGGCAAACATTCTCTCTCCACTAGCAAGTATGTAAGAAATTTTGTTAAAATGGCAACCCTATTCACTTGCCTTCCTTTGTCTCTTCAATTTGTGTGTATCCAACTTGTGTCTCTCAGACCTAGGTCGGTCCCTTCTCTTCTTCTCTCATCCTCCTATGTTTCTCCCTTCCTCTCTTGAGTGGTTAGAGCCCACATTTAAAGAGGAAGCCACGGATTTATGGTTTTGGATCCAGAATTTCATATTTTGGGAGTCCAACTGACTTAGAGGACACAAACAGAGGTGGTAATGGGAGATGGGTGACACAATGTCAAGAAACGGGAGTTAGAGGACAATCGGAAGGAAGGGTTGACCATGGACGACCAACAACTGCTTTAATTAGTGAGGGACACATTGGTAAGATGGTGGCATCCTGGATAGGGCCAACGTAGAGGTTGGAGGTGGTCAAAAGATTACTGAATGGAAGTTATTATTTTTTTGACTTGCCTTTTCACATGTTGTGTGTAGGAGCACTAACACAATGGCAGATGATCATGTGTCTATTGGATTCAAAGTTAGAGACAAACATTAAGGATGAAATTCCTTTGTACTCTATAGTTGTCATTGATCCACCTGTTATCCATATACACATCGAGACATGTTTGGTTGCTGGCTACAAAAGGATGCCTAGATTAGACATGCATCCCAAGTGTCCGATTTTAGGCACTTGAGGCAAAGGATCTGTTGGTCTCCAACCAAACAGGGCCTCGGCCTTGAATGCAGCGAAAGACCCAAGGAATTGTGATGTCTTGGTGAGCAATGCCTCGCCTTTAGCCGCGACAGTACATGAGACTACCCATAGTGTTATCAATTGCGAAAACAAATCTCACTATGTCACCTCATACCTATGCCAGAATCATATATGGTCAATGTGTCTGCATCGATGCTTTATTACTATATATACATGGGACCCAAATCCTCATAGGACTATGAACAACTGGCTGAAATATAGGGCGTGATTCGTAGGCCGGCTCCGGCCTAGCCTGGTTAATCCCATGTAGGTTGAAGGCGTTTGCTTTCCTGGAGAGACCTTGGGGCGCGATTGGACGCATGCAAGATTCCTTTCCTGGCCAAGCCAAGGAGAAACGTGAGAGCTTCGTTTTCGTCGAGCTAGGCTCGCGCAAGCTGTGTCACGTGTCCCTCCGGTGTCGGATGAGATATTGTGCATGCGAGACGAGGGAACAAGCAAACACCGAATCTCCGTAGCTTGACTAGACGAAAACAGAAACCAAACAAAGGCAATTGTATTTCATAAACCTGGCCAGTCAAGGCCTGGATCTCCAAATACAAACTAGGCTCGCCTCGGCAGCATAACAATCACGCCCATACTTATTTATAGTTCTAGCACCATCGAGGAAACAAGATGACCCAGGTAAAGTTTGGTTAAGCATTGGTCTACACAACGTGTCTACGTGACACTTCAATACTCGCCTGTTTTAGGGGCTGTTTGAGATTTCTTCATGAACTCTATTTCACAAACTCCACCGTGGAGCAGCTCAAAAAAAATTATGGAGCACCTTTTTAAGAGCTCTACAACTCCACTTGGGATGGAGCTAAAACTATTAGGTAAAAAACGTGGAACGAAGTAAAAAACGTAAGTGGAGCACTCCCAAATACCATTTAGTAGCAGAAATTGGTTTTTGTGACGGGTGGAGGTAAATTGGTTTATGCGGCGGGTTGTATGAGCCATACCCCAGGCTGAGAATGGCGGCGGATCGACTTCAGCGGCTGTGGTATAACAAGCAGGGCTTCTGTGCGAGCTGTGCCCAAAGCCCCAAACGATGATTAATAACTAGGAAACATTTGCTTAATTACTTATTTGCTTTAGGATTGGTGCAGTTTTTTTTATAAAAAAAAGTCTACTGGAGCATAACTCCTATAGGCTATCAGCCTGTTCATTTTTTTTTTCAGCCAAGACTTATCAGCCAGTCAACAATGTTTTCCTCTCACAACAAACCAGTATCAGTCGGGCTTACCAGCCCAGAAACCAACCAGCAAACAGGCTCTGTAGCAAAGCTGAACAGTACTATGCTAGTTTGTTCGAGGCAGCGGATCCAAGTGGATTCCAAACACAGCAGGTTGGGTGTAATTTGCCACACCCATCAGTCCTCCACTTTCGGCATATCATTTTCATCCGGTTCCTCTCAAACACGTCAATTTTCACTTTGTAATCAGTCCGCTGATTTCCATGTGCGAGTAAAATGGCCTCTTCATTGAACATACTGTCGTCAGGATCAAGTACCTGTTCGCTTGGCCAATAAGGCATGGCTAAAAGTATCGTTGGCTGATTTGTTGTAAGAGAAAAATATTGTTCGTTCGCTGAAAAAGTACGGATTATAAGCCAGTAAACAGTACAAGGAGTTAGGCACAGGTCTGCCCAACCCATTCGTACGCAAAGACTGAAGACCTGGCAAATCTGCTCACTAGCTGAACATTTTAGGCACCTGATCAGATCAGATTGATGCAAGGAGAAGATTCAGCACGCGCACGCTTTCTGCGCAGCTGACATCGCAGCGAACACTCCATTGAGGTCATTGGCTATCACAAAAGAAATGGCAGCATCGGACAAAATTTATAATTGGACGGATTGCGATGCATTCCGAAAATTATGATGCATATAAACCTGCAGGATACGGCGACAACATAAAGTCAGATCGAAAACTGGATAGATTTGTACATGATTCGTAGCAGCCTGTTCTTCTTCTAATCTTCTGCACCATGAATCCCTAGCAAAAAAGGATCCTTCAGACCCGATAAGGGTTTCAGAGTTATTCCACACAAGTGCTGAAAGCTCTCCATAACTGTACATGGGGAGTTTGGAATGGAGACTGCGGTCATGGCTTATAAGCCGTACTTTTTCTTTCTCTCGTAACAAATCAGCCACCAGTACTTTCAGTCATGGCTTATCAGCCAAGCGAACAGGACAATGGTCTTCAGTTGAGGACATCAACGGGCCAGAATCGTCGCCATGTCGATATCTCGTCTTTGGTCTGCAGCTTCCTGATGCCACCGTAGAAGCCGTCCGTCTCGTCCCCCTTCTCCCTGTGATCCTTCCTGCTCACAGTGGTCTGCCTCCATCGGGAGCCAGGGGCGTAGTGCTGGAACTCCAGGACAACCATGTCTGTAACAGATGGTAAACTAAACTGAGAAGACCTATGCAGATGCTGAAAAATATAATAGTACCACTACATGTGAGGCATGCAGAGATTCACTGACGAAAAACTGTTTGGAAAGTTCAGAGACTTCTACGTGCAAATGCTATACTCCATGATATTGAATCGACAGAGAAAATGGCCCTAGACAGGAAGATATAAAATGAACAATGGCCCTGGATGTCAAAGCCACGAGATCCACGTGAGAAAAAAGTTGTCAAAAACCATATACTCCAAATTAAATCGAAGGACTTAGGTAAGATCATAATCATAAGATTAAAGATTGTGAACATGAAAATTGTCGAAAAATAAACTTAACTGATTCAAACCTATCAATTAAGATTGTAAAGATATAAAACCATATAGCAAAATGTACTCCCTCTATCCCAAAATAGAAGTCATTCTCGCTTCCCGAAAAGTCAGTTTTTTTTAACTTTGACCAATTATATATAAAATAATATTAATATTTATAGTACATAATTAATATTATTAGATAGATCTTTGAATATACTTTCATAATAAACTTATTTGAATATATAAATGTTACACGTATTTTCTACAAATCTAGTCAAAAAAATTGACCTGCACGTATCCTATAACAACTCCTACTGTGGGACTGAGGGAGTAGATTTTAACAACTATTCCTGTGCGATAGAATATGGAAGAAATGAGGAATACCGCTGCCAAAGTTTATCTGGCAAGTCGTCCTTTGGGTGACAAAACAATGAATAATATTGATCCTCGAGAAGAGGAAAGGTGACAAGAATGTTCATTGCCCCTTTATGTCCGAGATTATTTGTTTTCCATTTTTACTGCTCCATCCGTTCAAAAAGAACATAATTCTCATTTTTGAGAAGTCAAACATTTTTTAAATTTATAAAAACTACTAACATTTATGATATCGAGTAAATATCATTAAATTAACATGAAATATGTTTTCATAGTATAGTTATATGGATTCATAAATATTAATAATATTTTCTATAATTTTATTCAGAATAATGAATTTTGGCTGAATCTATATTTATAATTATATCCTTTTTTTTAGACGGAGCATAGTCTGAGGGCAGTCTATGCAGAAGAATACTTCTAGCTGCACTCCTTTGTACGGTAACCGTAACTAATAGTACTTTCCTCTTTTCTACTAATAGTAATGTTTATCCTGTCCGCACCTGCTATGGCCGACAATATCCAAAGATGAAAAAGAGAGCGGCTCGGGAGAGAGAATCTTTACCGTCTTGGTGGCAGCGACACATATGCTCGTTCCCATTGCACGACTCCTGGTGACCCACGACGCCATACCACCAGCCTGTTGTAGTGCATCACAAAGGCAACGTACGTGAACCAAACCAACCGAGATACTAGTAGAAATGAACTGTGCAGCGGCATCTTAATTTTGCCAAGCATTGCAATCTGTAGATGATCTGAGTTGAGCAATACTATTACCATAAGGGAAGTCCTTGTTCTTGCGCCACTGGATCTCGAAATGGTCGCCCGGGCGCAGCTCCTCCATGCAGTCCGACGCATGCAGTTCCTGCGCCGGCGTGCTCACCGGCGGCGCGCGGACCCTGTTCCACTGCACGCCGTCGTCCTCCTTGCCCGGCTTCCGGCCGAGGGGTGGGTACCTGTCAACGAGGCCAATGGCGCATCGTCAGCAATTTAAGCCACTCACAATCACAGCAAAACAGCAGCCCAAAATATCTCATTCATTCCATTATCAGCAGACATTTCACGGTCAATGGTTTAAATGCACACGCTAATGTTGCACACCCTATAACTCTTAATTCTCAGCCCATCCTTTTTACTCATGTGAGCTCGACGGCTATACATATTAATGGATGCCGTCAATTCCGTCGGCCTCGTATGAGGATCACAACAGTAAACTGCTACCGACAAAAGGAGATTAAAAACATAGGGTGGGTTACCTCGCGGTGAAGGTGTCAGTTCGCCGGTGGTAGCGGAGGTGCGCGTCGTAGCACGAGAGCACGAACCCGACATGTCCGTCCTGCTAAAAGAGCAAGCACATTCTCCCAGTATTATTAACCAAACAATTCGTGTGCTTAACCTAATGTTAATTACAGTTAGTGGTGGTGGATTGGTACTACCTCGCGGTTGTACACCTGCGCGGGGAACCAGAACTCGCCGCACTCGAGCGCCCGGTACCACGCGGCCACCGTGTCCGTCGGCGGCGCGGCGGGGGCGGGGGCGGGGATGGTGTTGGGCTCGGCGGCGACGGCGGAGACTGGCGCGGGGGTGTGATCCCCCTTGAGGAGCCAGCGGCAGCCGATCCAGGAGGAGGAGAAGGGCCACGCGCAGGCCAGCAAGTCGACCCAGCTCCTGCGGCGGGTCGGCCGCGGTGCGTCTGCGCGGGCGGCCCTCCCACCCAGCTCCGCCTCCCACTCCTTGCGCGCCGCGGCGCCGAGCACGTGGCCCCACTTGAGCCGCAGGTGGCGCTCCCACAGCGCGTCCGCGGAGCACCGGTCTCTGAGCGCGGCGCACACGCACGCCATCGCGGCGAGCGACGCCGGCGAGAGCTCCTCTAGCACGCGGTCCAGCGCGAGCTCCGGCAGGTCGAGCAGCGGGAACCCCGCCGCGGCGGCTGGCGTCTCCGCCTCCGCCGGAGCCACCAATGCGGCCGCCGCGGGCCTCGGCTTGGAAGGAGCGGACGACATCCTGGCGCCTCGCTCCCGCTCCTTGGTCCCCGCGGCGGTGGCGTGGCGCAGTAGCTCCGTGGCCAGCAGCAGCGCGAGGAGGGCGAGCTCGCGCGCGAGCTTGCAGCAGGCCTTGGTGGCGGGCGGGACGAGGAGCAGCGTGAAGGCCGGGAGGGTGGATATAAGCAGCAGCGGAAGCATCTCTCTCTCAGGATCAGCGATCAGGGGGAGGAAAAAAAGTTAGCGCGCTGCCGTACCAATCAGCAAAGGCGGCAGGGCTCCCCGGCCCTGGCGGTGGTGGTGGTGGTGGACTGGTGGTGCGGTGCGTGCGACGACAGCGCCACCCAAACGCGCCCGCGCACGACGCGGACACGGGCAGAGGGGCTGGACGTACTGGAGAGGAGAGGATAGCGCGCGCGCGGGTCCGCCCGGCCCCGGAAAGCGGAGGAGGCAGTAGCGCGGATGGCAGCCTTGCAGCAGAATGATTCCTGCTCGGCTGCTCCCTCCTCCTCGGCTCCTCGACGTGCCGCGCTGCTGTAGTGCAAGATGCTGTTGCCCCTGCCCTCGCTCGCTTCGTCCTCGTCCACCCTGTGGCCTCCCTCTGCTTTTGAGGTGCCAGGCCCCGGCAGAGTGCAGACCCACCCAAAAGGCACGCACTTTGGAAGCACAAGCGCCCTACTCCTACAGTCCGCCTCAGGCCTCAGCATTTGTAGGGTTGGCGGGACGGTGGTTGCCTGCCTGGTTAAGTGGTTGGTGGGTGAACAACGAAGATAAGACGGTCGCCCGCTAACCCCCAACACCACCGCCACACTAGTACCAAATTGCTAACGTACGTGACCAACCCCTTTTCTTTACTCGCGAGCAAGCCAAAAATATCCCCCAAAATTTGATTTCAACGCGACAATGTTTGTTTGTCCTGCACTTTTTCACACTTAAAATATTGAAATCTTTCGTGCGCGTCGCATACAAGAAACAGGCGGCGATTGGTGAGGGTAGCTAAGCAGCCAAACAGCAGAGTCAGCCGGGAGTGTTGTGTCCAAAAGGCCGGTGTGGAGAAAACGAGGTGGCAAAAGCCCGCCCGGAGTTCTCCTGCCTTGGTTGCTCAGACAGACAGAGAGATGAGCCCAACCGCAACCGCAACCACTTCGGCGACAACAGAAGTGGCACGGCCCCTGGACAATGCTGCGGTCAAAACGGAGTTGCTGTTGCCACTCACCTACTACTACTATCTCGGTGCTATGCCGACGAGCCGATGTGCAGCAACAGCATGATCCAGTTCGAGTGCTCTTCCTATAGTTAATATTTTACGGTTCTTTGTTGCCCGTTCTGGATGGGAAGCGAGCAGTGCGCGTGGTTAAGCTACCTAGGGTTGCGTTTTAGGGAAAGGGCACCGTTGTTTATTCCGCCACTAACTAACTTGGTAGTACACCTTATTGTGCTTTGCTGAGGATATTCCACTACCGAGTTTGTTAGCCTAACCATCCTCCATCCTCAATTTCTTTTTCTTTTCTCTGGCAGACAGACACCTTTGCAGCCAAGACATAATCTCCAGCCTCTGTCACTTGTTCTGCCCACCGATGTGGCTGCAGAGGAAGGATCATTTTTGGCATGTTTTTTTGTCGAGCTGCCCATATAATCCCATTTCTGATTCCTTCAGAAAATATTATTTATCTGCGTTGAACGGTGCACAGAAACAGAGGTGCACGTTTTTCTCGGCTGTAAAGGAGAAATGTGAGTACCACGCTGCCACCACTACTAGCAGTAGTACTTCGGCCGCGTTTAGTTCGGCCCCAGATTTGGCGCCGCCCAAATTCGCGGCACTGTTGCGACACTGTATCGTTTTGTTTTTATTTGATAATAATTGTCCAATCGTTGACTAATTAGGCTCAAAACGTTCGTCTCGCAAAGTACAACTAAACTGTGCAATTAGTTTTTGATTTCGTCAACATTTAGTACTCCATACATGTATCGCAAGTTTGATGTGACGGAGAATCTTTTTTTTGCATAGTGCCAAATTCTGGAATTTGGATGAACTAAACGTGGCCTTCGTTTTTTAGGGCGTGTTTAGATCAAAAAATTTTGGGTTTCGGGTACCGTAGCATTTTCGTTTTTATTTGGCAATTAGTGTCTAATTATGGACTAATTAGGTTCGAAAGTTTCGTCTCGTGATTTCTCACCTAACTGTGCAATTAGTTTTTTTTTTATCTACATTTAGTACTCCATGCATGTGCCGCAAGATTCGATGTGATGGATACTGCGCAAAAAATTTTGGTTTTTGGATGGAACTAAACGGGCCTTAAGTGCGTGCCGTGCATGCCCTTTTATGATCTGATGGTCACTGATGGAGTAGCCTTGACCCTGAGTCCCTGACGACCAGTGTCCTCAGTTTGACGAGGTCATCTGAATCTGAACACGAAGACCGAAAGTCTGTGACCGCCTAACGTCGAAAACTAATTGCACCAGCCGCTCTTTCGCGAGGACTTTCCGATCCTCCCAGGACGATACGGGCATACGGCTAGCTAAGCTGTAGCTGCCTTTTGGTAGATCCAGGCATCCAGCGACGCCGATGACTTGCCAGCTTTCTCAGTTCTCACAGTCACAGATCTTGAACCCACAGGAGCAAAGAGATTTGGCTGATTGGCTCCGGGTGGACTAGGTGATTCTGTCTACTGTTGGTCGGCGACGTGATGCCTGCTCGGTGCAAGCAATTCCATCGCTTCACTCCAGTCCTGCTTGTGCTTGGCCTGTGCCGGAATGTTTGTTCTCGGTCCCGAAAGGCGCGGCAATTCAGGGTCGAAGAGGATGGCTACAGATATATAGGCAGGGAGAAAAGCCAAGGTGTTTGTTTACTGCTGCTACTCTAGTTAACTTCCCGGAGACAGCGCATCACGTGATGGAATTAGGGACCAGGGGCCGCCGGCCTCCGAGGTCCAAGAGAGCGTGGATTGAACGAAACTTCGAGGTGGACGTGTGACGTGTCGTGCTCAGTTAGGCCTCATCTGGTTCGCTTCGCTGAAAAAACAAGCCGAAACACGGTTTTAACTGATTTGTTGTGAGAGAAAAATATTGTTCCGACTAAGAAAATAAACTGAAAAATACAGATTATAAGAAAAGCTAACCGGGCGTTAATTCTGGAGAGCTGGAAGCTGCTACGAGGCCAAACAAGCGACCCAAAATTCAACAACGTTTTTCAAGTCTCTACCGACACAAAATCCCACCATGGCTGTCCTCCTGTACTGTACAAGAGGGAACGTTCTCAGGTTGGGCAGACACAGATGCCGCCGAGTGTCACGACACGACTCACGGCTGACGAGCGGGTTAGCTTCGGCCTGTTTGGTTCAGGCACGAAGTAATAACACTTAGTCCCTCTGTCCAAAATTAACCGCCATTTTAGATTTCTGTGCTATAAGTTTAACTAGATTTATAGAAAAAAATATATAATATTTATATTTCTAAATAAATTTATTATAAAATAAGATTTAAAAATCTATCTAATGATATTAATGGTGTATCATAAATATTAATATCATTTTATATAAAATTAGTCAAAGTTATTTTTCGAGAAGCGAGAACGACAGATATTTTAGGACGGAGGAAGTACCTATTAAGCGGCTACTTAGAGAAAGCTGTTTTTTATTAACACTATTTTATCTGATCTATTAACTGGGGCATTCGGATCTTACTACGCTAATTGCCTAATTTTAGTCAACAGCTCGTTGACTTCAAGTACAACACGTGCTGTGTGCAAAAGAAACGGAAAATGCTCCACGCCCGTCCGTTAGCACGACGGTTTCCCGAGGCATGTGCAACGGACCGGTCTAACATACCCACGCTTCTCTAATAAAAAAACAACTGCTGGACGTTGATTTCCCAATCCTCGTCGCTCGCCCGTCGTGGCATTCTTCCCCGCCACACCACGCCATCGACCGCTGCGGTAGATTCCACCGCGTCGTCCGCCGCTCGCCTTCTCCAGTGTGGGGCCGCTCCCCACGATGTTCTCCAGTGCGGGGGTGCCTCGCCGCGGGCACGACACCAGCCCGCTGCGACCTTCTCCAACAGCGGGGGGCACCTGCCTCGACGCTGGAGGCCGTACCTGCCTGACCGTCACTGCTGCCTCCACCGCGGCAGCCGCCTGGGGGTGGCGCCACCACTCGTCGTCGAGCCTGCGCAGCCACGAATTTCGGCGTGGTCCGTGACGACCGCTGCGGCGCGCCCGGGCGCCTACCTGGCGCCATCCTTCCTCTCTCCACCGCACGTGAGCCGCTCACCTGCCGTCATCCTTGCTCTCCACTGCAGTCCAATGCCGCTTGTTGGCTACCACAGTTCCCCCACAAGGTAGGTCGTGGCCGACGGCGGGGGCGTGTGTCGGTGTTTCGAGTTACCACCAACGAGTAAATTTCTAGTATTGCACGTCTGACTCGGATGATGTGCTTAGAGGACACTAGATTTATACTGGTTCGGGCAAAATGTCCCTACGTCCAGTTTGTCGCTGCTGCTCGTGTTACGAGCACTAAAAATTTGTAGTAGGGGTTACAAACGGGCGAGAGAGGGACATGTTGAAAGCTCTAGTTTGGTGGCGTCGGTCTACTGACCGGACGCTGGGTCACTCAGCGACCGGACGCTGAAAGGTTGCGTCCGATCGAGCTGTCAGACAACACAGTGGGTAGGGTTGAGCACCGGACGCTGGTCTGCGTCCGGTCAAGGTGGACCGGACGCGTCCGGTCGAAAAAACATGCCTCGGGAAGCTTACTGGAAACGACCGGACGCTGGGGCTTCAGCGTCCGGTCAGTTTTGACCGGAGCGTCCGGTCAGCTTCGTAGCCGTTGAAATCTGACGAACAGCGTTTGAAGCTGGTGACGCGTGGCGTCCATCGGGCGACCGGACGCTGAGGGCCAGCGTCCGGTCGGTATGACCGGAGCGTCCGGTCAGAGCGTGTTTTACCCAGTGAAGGGGTACAACGGCTCTATTTGATGGGGGCTCTATTTATAGCCCCATGGCCGACTCAAGGAAAGTTTCTTGCACATTTTCATTGACATAGCAACCTTGTGAGCTTAGCCAAAGTCCTCCCACTCATCTCTATCATTGATCCATCATCATTGTGAGATTGAGAGAGAATCCAAGTGCATTGCTTGAGTGATTGCATCTAGTGGCACTTGGTATTCGTGTTGCGCTGCGGATTTCGCTTGTTTCTCTTGGTGGTT